CCAATTGGATTTATCAAGTACCCAATTGATTTTGGTTACAAGTTATATAGAGCACCCCTAACTCATGAATCAGGAAAAATTTGCAACAATTTGTCGAATAATGGAACAACATTATGGTTAACCATAAGCCCTACCACTATAATAACCCTAATTTACAAAGAAAAAACACATAGTACAATGTAGAAGGGACTTGGGAAGGGAGGTAAAATTATGTCCTATCCGTGTATAAGACACATGAAAATTTTGTAATTTAGGACGAAAACTTGTGCCTTTCTACTTTTCTACTATTTTTTTGACTTTTTAATCTAACCCTGTACTATAAAATCCGATGGCCATGTAGGAAAAAGAATATAAATTATATTTACTTCGTGGCGTTACAAAAGTATAACCAGGTACATGAGTTCAACAAAGATATAGTTCTTTTTTAGAAATGATTTAACCAAGTACATAGACAAACTCGAGGTGAAAACAATTTGAGGATAAAAGCCTTCAAGCTCCCAAAAAATTTGATGGTATTCCACCAAAATTTACGAAAAAAAGAAACAAAAAAATTAAAAACTATCAACCTCAAATTGATTTTTAAAAAATAGGCCTAAAATTGCAGAGGAATTAACATAACTAGCCATCATATCATTAAATAAAATCAGCAACTCTAATGAACTTGAGTAAATCTACAATGAGGTGACACAACGAAATAGCGAGGGAAAAAAAAAAAAAGGTCCAAGTAGTTCTCATAAAAAAGTGATAAAACGGTAAAACTTTAGATTTTAAAAAGTAAACAAATACCATTGCGAAATCATAAGCATCATCGTGATTAAAAAGAATCAACTCAATGGAAAAAATGTCAAATTATATCCAATTGCACAAACAGGAAGGACAAATTGCATAAACCTTGCCAATTCCTGCGTTAAATATTAACAAAAAGTGGGAAACTTGACAACTTATATACCCGGTAACCAAATTTTTAAAAATTATAGATCATATAATGGACCAATGGTGCATGAATCATAGTGCCACGATAGAAGGTGCGAATATTCAATTCTCTATCAGGTCTTGTTTATTAATGGAAAGTGCATAAATGCACCCAATGTTCTCATAATCAGGGCAGTTCGTTATTAATGAAGGGACCCCTTTATAGAAATAGACTTACAATCAGAAGCCTTGTGTGATGGCACGAGTCAATAGCAGCATGTAAGGCATTATGATTAGCTACCACTTACAAAAAGTAAATGCTACGGTTCTGCTGACAACGCCTTATCTTCTGAACAGTCACCGACAATGTTGAGAGAATTAATTTCATAGGGTTGGCGGAGTTAATGCCACCGGAGAGGTTACATTTCGGTTGACAAAAACAGCCCATTGGAAAATGGAAAACCGTATTTCAATCCTTATAAAGTCCAGCAATAATTTTTGCAATGTGATACAACATTATCAAGCTTCAACTATATACCCCCTCCTTTTTTATTTACGTTTTTGGTTTGGGAAACATTTGAATTAGGGCAAATTAAGTATATGAAGATTGTGAATAAATACTTGTTACATTGTTATGGGGTAATATATTGTATTTATACTTTTGTCCTCATGGGAGATACAACGAGCCGCAGTTTCTTGTCTTACAAAAATTCAGAAAAGTCATTAATACACAATTTAATATATGTTAAAAGAAACTGTTATTTGTTGTTCGCTCCTTTCAAGCAAATTTTCATAGGGAAGCTATAGTCTCGCTGTTCAAGTGAGAAAAGTCATGAAAGAAAAAACGTGTGGTGATACAGAGAGTTTCGCAAAGATGATCATATGGTGATGTAATTTGGTGGCCGAACGGGCCGAATTGAGGATTATCAACTGATAGTCATACTAGACTTACACACGATGTATCAAAAGTTACAAACTAGCAGCTTTTAAAAAAAAAAAAAAAAAAAAAAAAAAAAAAAAAAAAAAAAAAAAAAAAAAAAAAAAAAAAAAAAAAAAAAAAAAAAAAAAAAAAAAAAAAAAAAAAAAAAAAAAAAAAAAAAAAAAAAAAAAAAAAAAAAAAAAAAAAAAAAAAAAAAAAAAAAAAAAAAAAAAAAAAAAAAAAAAAAAAAAAAAAAAAAAAAAAAAAAAAAAAAAAAAAAAAAAAAAAAAAAAAAAAAAAAAAAAAAAAAAAAAAAAAAAAAAAAAAAAAAAAAAAAAAAAAAAAAAAAAAAAAAAAAAAAAAAAAAAAAAAAAAAAAAAAAAAAAAAAAAAAAAAAAAAAAAAAAAAAAAAAAAAAAAAAAAAAAAAAAAAAAAAAAAAAAAAAAAAAAAAAAAAACGTGGCGGATCCAGGATTTCACATTAGAGGGGGCCTTTTACAAAAAATTTAAAAATAATTAGAATAGGAGTCCTCAAGCGCTAAACGGGTTAATAAGTTAATAATATCATTTCATACTGATTAATAATTTATCCATTTATTACAATCATAATTATCTTGAATTTCATATTTTAACATGGTTGAATATTAATCTCATCATCTACACTATTAAAGACTCAAAATTTAATAATTTAAACTTCAATAGAAAGAAGAAATTCAAAAAATGTTCATAAATCCCAATATTAAGATACCCTACTTAGACATGTAAATAGGGGAAAGGGGAATTCACAAAGCTTAAATTAATCAAAAGAGGAAGAGAATGAGAAAAAAAAAGAAGAGTCTTTACTCCAAGGAGCAAACATAGAAGTAAAAATATGAGAAAATAAAAAAAATGAGAGAGGGCCTGGGCCCACCCTGGTCCTTAGGTGGCTCCGCCACTGGTCGTCATCTTTATGGAGGATTGAAAACTAAATATCTTGGGCTAGAAACCATTCCCTAAAGCAAATACAAATGAGAATATGCATACATTATCGCCTTAATCAAATGCAAGCAAATATGGGCATGGCCGAGGTTGTGGTCATGGTCATTACAGTTCCCAAAATCGAGGAAGTTATTCAAACAAGAAAAACACATCATACCACCAGCAATGGAATAATAATGAAAGAAAAGAAAAGGAAAGTTTTCTCATCGCATTGCATTTTGATTATGGAATTGGGAAAATATGGAAGCACGATATAGGTCTCATAAATTGAAAGAACATTATACCAATTGAAATGACTAATTGACACCTTCCATTATGATAATTATTAAAAATAGGGTTATCTACTGTAGACGTCCTTGAACTTGGCCCCCCAGTTGCAATTGGGTCCGTGAACTTTTTTTTGTGCCAATTACATCCTTTAATTGGACAAATAGTTGCAATTGGGTCCTACCGTCTAACTCTGTCAATTTATCCGTCAAAATAAGGGGTAAAAGCGTCCTTTTGAGTCTGAAGAAAAAAATTGAAAAAAGTGAAATTTTTTTTAATTAGAACAATAGGAGCACGCCAGTTGCAAGAAAGTGGTCACCACCAAGGGCTTACTCCAGCTCATCCCTACCCGAAGGCCAAGCAAAGAGGAAAAATAAATAAATAAATAAATAAAAGTAAAAATAAAAAATAAAAATAAAAATCCCTTTCTTTCGCTCTGTCTCTCCCTCTCTCTTGCAACTTGTTGAGGCCCAAAAATCCAGGGTTGGGCCCAAATAAATTCTCGGCCCAACATAATGCCTTATTAAGAAAAATACTCGGTTTGGAGCATGCAAAATTCCTCATTCATGCTTGCACAAGCCACGACCACATGCCATGCCAAATAAATATGCAATCTCTCATGCTAAGAGTTGAAATAAGCACCAACTCTACGAGCCCATGCTAATGACCTCGTCAAGCATCATGCCTCTATTCAAGGACGATAAAATTAAAACACGCCGATTGACATGCCATGCTAAGCAGAAAATTATTATTTCACACCCAACCACGCTACAAGCTTAAGTGGGCCCAAGCCACGCAAATGTCCGGGGCTTGCTTGAGTGGGTTGTGGTATGGATGGTAACAAGCTTTCATGAGGCCCATTGATGAGACAAGAAATGGAAGTTTTGGGCTGCTTGGGAGCCCCAAAACTCAAGCCCATTTCTTGAGCCCAAACACATGGGCTAGCATGAGAGAGAGAACATGACCCAATGCCTTAGAGAATACAGTAGTTTGCTTAGGAAACCCTATGTTAGTTAGAGCATCCAAATACTTTATTAAAAATGCAACAGGCAAACTGCTTCCAGCAGCTTGACGAAAACCTGTCAAACGATAGAAGTAACAAGCTAAAGACCCAACACTGTACATACAAGCTCAGCCCAAAACCTTATGAAAAGCCTAGAGTCGTGCTCCATTCTGATTAGGACTCCAAGACAGTCAAACAAGGAGCCATGGTAGGAACCAACAGAAATCCGTGCGTGAATGACGAGTACCCATCGGACAAAGAACTCCCTCCATCTCTCCTTTCCTCTGCAAGCTCCATCTTGAAAACCCATAAGGAAAGCAGGTGGCGCCTCCCCCCTTATGGGAAGGTCCAGCTGTGTCAAACTCTTAGAACCACAAAGGGTTCCTTACCCATGCTCCTTGGATGGGAGAAATTCACCAAAGAAGATAAAGTGGAAATGAGCAATGAAAAGGGGAGGAAAAGTTAAGACGAAATTAGGGTTCTTTGTGGCTATAAAAGAGAGCCTCAGCTACTGTAACACCCCGACTCCAAATTTATCCCCTGTTTTAATTAATTTGAGTGAAATTAAGAATTTACCCGAGGGATGGGTACTTTAGTCATTTTCTTACCCGGAATGAATTTGGGAATTCCGGATGTACCGTTGCGTAGAGCACGGCGAGATGAGTCCGTAGACACGTAATGGGCTCGAATCGGAGTTGTAACGAGAGAGATATGATCAAAAGAAGCTCAGTGGCATAATCGTAAATATTTGGAAAATGGATTTTTGGGTTAAAAGACAGAATTGCCCCCGTCTATCACACTCTCTCTCTCTCCCGCGCATCTCTCTCTCTCCTCTGGTTTTCGCGACAGCCACTGTGGCCGGCCACGTTTTGGCCGGCCGTGCTCTCGTCCGGCCACCAAAGTCGACGGGGCCGGTACCAAAATGACCGGGCCGCCGTCCTCTTCCTACCCCGGCCAGGTCTCGTCGCCAGCCGCCGTGATTTCACCGGAAAACGAGGAGAAAAGCTCCGGTTTTGACAGAAACTTCGCCGGCTTCGTTCTCCGTCGTCCGGCCGCCATTTTTGGCGATCAAGGTATGGAAATTCATCCCTTCTGCATGATCTAGCTGATGGTTGGGTAGGATTGCATCGATTTTGAGCGTAGGATGTCTGATCTTCGAATTGGGTTTCGGCCGGATTTCGGGATGAGATTCCGGCCACTTCCGGTCAGATTTTGGGGTACGTCCAAGAACAAAAGTGACTCCAAATTAGGTGTTTTACCTAGGGTAGGAGTCTTGAGCCGTGATTCGTGGTTTTTCCGGCGATGCGATATCGCTTTGGACACCCACGCGCTGCCGGCGCGTGTGGCGGCGCGTGGGCACTGTAGTCGAGGGGCAATTTTGTCCCAATGTGATCCTCAGGTTGTCATGAGCGCGTAGGTGTGCTCGGATCTCATTTTGGATACCGTTAGAGTCCCGAACGGATATCGCATATCGCGTATTTTCCGGGTTCGCTGGGTTTGGACCGTTGGATGGTCCTGAGATTATAATATGTTGATCTAGGTATTACCAGGATCGTGTAGGATTCGACGGATCGTAAAACGGAGTCCCGGATACTCCGGAAATGCCAACCCTGGGGTTAGGGTTTTAGTAACTGTCCGATCCTGCGATCGTGAGCGATCCGACCGTCCGATCTGGACCAAACTTGCAGGACATGTGTCCTAGAGCCTGTAGAACCTATAGGAACTTTCGGATCGAAATTTGGAGGTGGTGGGCCCCGCAAGCCCGTTTGACCCTAGGTTGACCGTGAGACTCCCGAGATAGTCTTACCTTTCCTTGAGGGTTAGAATGACCATAGAGACAGGTCCTGATGTTATGGGGATTATGGGGAATTATCGGATGCTAGTTGTTTACTAAGGTGTTTATATTATTAGAAATTAATGTATAAAAAGTATGTATGGATTTTATGATTGAATGTTAGTTTGCAGTGCTATATGCACTACCCTATGTACCTCCTCGGATGTTGACAGACCCCATACGTGGCCGGGTGCGTCCCGACGTATGAGGGGAGATATGATGGTATGATGACTGGTGAGAATGTAGCCAGGCCCAGTGTGAGGTCGCACGCGTCTTTGGATTAGCCGGCGTGTTGACAGACCCCGTACGTGGCCGGGTGCGTCCCGACGTATGAGTGGGAGATATGATGGTATGATGGCTGGTGAGAATGTAGCCAGGCCCAGTGTGAGGTCGCACGCGTCTTTGGATTAGCCGGCGTGTTGACAGACCCCGTACGTGGCCGGGTGCGTCCCGACGTATGAGTGGGAGATATGATGGTATGATGGCTGGTGAGAATGTAGCCAGGCCCAGTGTGAGGTCGCACGCGTCTTTGGGTTAGCCGGCGTGTTGACAGACCCCGTACGTGGCCGGGTGCGTCCCGACGTATGAGTGGGAGATATGATGGTATGAGGGCTGGTGAGAATGTAGCCAGGCCCAGTGTGAGGTCGCACGCGTCTTTGGATTAGCCGGCGTGTTGACAGACCCCGTACGTGGCCGGGTGCGTCCCGACGTATGAGTGGGAGATATGATGGTATGATGGTTGGTGAGAATGTAGCCAGGCCCATGTGAGGTCGCACGCGTCTTTGGATTAGCCGGCGTGTTGACAGACCCCGTACGTGGCCGGGTGCGTCCCGACGTATGAGTGGGAGCTATGTGATTATGTTGGGTGTGTTGTGATGGATAAACCCGAGAATGTATGAATTTATATGGATGTGATGGTTTAATTGATATCAGGAGCCAGGATTGATAGGAAAGAGCTACGTGTGGCTTGATCCCTTAGTAGGGTACGTAGGCAGCCTGGGATAGCGCCTAGGTGCAGCCACGACCTAGACACCACTTAGGTGGTTTTATCGAGTATGATGCGGACCTCGTGGTTGGTCCCGAAACTTGGTTGAATTGAGGCTTGTCCGGTGGACTGAGTGAGTGAAGGTGTGTATGGATGGATCTTTGAATTGGATATGTGCATGTTTGATGCATTAAGTTATTTTAAAAACAGTGTGGGCAGTTTTGCTAGAATCATTTGAAGGCCGGAGGCCATTTATGTAAATTGCATGAGATTATATTGTGCGTGCTGCTGGTTGGGTTAGCAAATGTGTTTTATGCAGGTGGAAATTTTGGGGAATGTTCAATTTACAGGGGAGACTCTGCCGAAATTTTGGCAGAAAGTCTAGTGCCCTAAATCCTCTCTGGTAAAAGAGGACGTAGTTTTAAGGAGTGAACCCGGCGTGGGGGTTATGCCGGGGTCTCCGCAGGGTTCGTCTCGGGTTTCGGGAAATTCGGGGCGGGTCCTGTCAGCTTGGTATCAGAGCTTTGGTTCAATTTCTTGCGGACCCCGCACCTTGTGTGCATCCTTAAGTTGTGGGATCATGACGGGTTCCGTCACGGGACGTCATCATTTTGACGCGGAGGATTCTTTGACATGGATGGATTTAAGGTATTGATGAGTACACTTAAGGGTGTCACATTCCTAGAAACGTGTCTATCCAAATTGTCGTATCTCAATATCCTATGGAAGGAAATGGAAGAGCTGAAAGTGTTGAATCAGCTGAGATGAGATGAAATTGTCAGAGGAAGTTGATGGACAAGTTACAAGGGAATGGAGGAGTTGTGAGTCCGACCAAGGAGGGTCGTGACAAATTAAGTTGAGAAGTAGTAGAGTTGGGTGAAGTATCATTTCACTCGCGTGAGCTTGAATGCCGCAATTGACAGGAGTGGAACTTTATGGTTCTTCTTTCTTGCTCTCTCACGCAGTGAATTTGAACTCCAAACTTTCTTGGAAGTTCGGCCATTGGGAGTTTGACCGACGACTTGGGTTACTTCTGTCTACCCCTCTGGAAAGGGAACCAATATGAGAAAGAGGAAGAAGAAAGGTACAAAGGCCGTAGAGGCAGAAGTAGAGCTAGAGCTTTACCACAGACGGAGGTTGTTGAGTTCTTATGGGCAGGAGAACATGGAGTTGATAAACTCGTTTCTTGAGATCCTCCATTGCCTGAACATGTTGCTAATTCTCGATTGTGTGCAGTGAGCACGTTTGAGCAGAAATCTTTCATCGGAATCAGAAATGGGTCATGGTAGAGAGAGGAAGATGATGATTACAATTCGGTAAAAAATGATCCTTTCTGACATTTCTCTCAAAGAATCGTGTTGGCAATGTTGCTTATCGATTCTAGAGAAAGAAGAAAGATATCAACAAGTCAAGGAGTTTGGACTTCTCTTCGTGGGAGAGCTAGAAGAGAATCAAATCACAAATGGAATGACTTGGCTGCCAACTTGGTTGTGGAGGATGAAGCATGGGAACCCGAGCAGTAGATGCGGGCCCAGTACCCACACCCTTTGAAGTGGCAGGTATGAAATTTCGGGGACGAAATTTTTATAAGGGGGGTAGTCTGTAACACCCCGACTCCAAATTTATCCCCTGTTTTAATTAATTTGAGTGAAATTAAGAATTTACCCGAGGGATGGGTACTTTAGTCATTTTCTTACCCGGAATGAATTTGGGAATTCCGGATGTACCGTTGCGTAGAGCACGGCGAGATGAGTCCGTAGACACGTAATGGGCTCGAATCGGAGTTGTAACAAGAGAGATATGATCAAAAGAAGCTCAGTGGCATAATCGTAAATATTTGGAAAATGGATTTTTGGGTTAAAAGACAGAATTGCCCCCGTCTATCACACTCTCTCTCTCCCGCGCATCTCTCTCTCTCCTCTGGTTTTCGCGACAGCCACTGTGGCCGGCCACGTTTTGGCCGGCCGTGCTCTCGTCCGGCCACCAAAGTCGACGGGGCCGGTACCAAAATGACCGGGCCGCCGTCCTCTTCCTACCCCGGCCAGGTCCCGTCGCCAGCCGCCGTGATTTCACCGGAAAATGAAGAGAAAAGCTCCGGTTTTGACAGAAACTTCGCCGGCTTCGTTCTCCGTCGTCCGGCCGCCATTTTTGGCGATCAAGGTATGGAAATTCATCCCTTCTGCATGATCTAGCTGATGGTTGGGTAGGATTGCATCGATTTTGAGCGTAGGATGTCTGATCTTCGAATTGGGTTTCGGCCGGATTTCGGGATGAGATTCCGGCCACTTCCGGTCAGATTTTGGGGTACGTCCAAGAACAAAAGTGACTCCAAATTAGGTGTTTTACCTAGGGTAGGAGTCTTGAGCCGTGATTCGTGGTTTTTCCGGCGATGCGATATCGCTTTGGACACCCACGCGCTGCCGGCGCGTGTGGCGGCGCGTGGGCACTGTAGTCGAGGGGCAATTTTGTCCCAATGTGATCCTCAGGTTGTCATGAGCGCGTAGGTGTGCTCGGATCTCATTTTGGATACCGTTAGAGTCCCGAACGGATATCGCATATCGCGTATTTTCCGGGTTCGCTGGGTTTGGACCGTTGGATGGTCCTGAGATTATAATATGTTGATCTAGGTATTACCAGGATCGTGTAGGATTCGACGGATCGTAAAACGGAGTCCCGGATACTCCGGAAATGCCAACCCTGGGGGTTAGGGTTTTAGTAACTGTCCGATCCTGCGATCGTGAGCGATCCGACCGTCCGATCTGGACCAAACTTGCAGGACATGTGTCCTAGAGCCTGTAGAACCTATAGGAACTTTCGGATCGGAATTTGGAGGTGGTGGGCCCCGCAAGCCCGTTTGACCCTAGGTTGACCGTGAGACTCCCGAGATAGTCTTACCTTTCCTTGAGGGTTAGAATGACCATAGAGACAGGTCCTGATGTTATGGGGATTATGGGGAATTATCGGATGCTAGTTGTTTACTAAGGTGTTTATATTATTAGAAATTAATGTATAAAAAGTATGTATGGATTTATGATTGAATGTTAGTTTGCAGTGCTATATGCACTACCCTATGTACCTCCTCGGATGTTGACAGACCCCATACGTGGCCGGGTGCGTCCCGACGTATGAGGGGAGATATGATGGTATGATGACTGGTGAGAATGTAGCCAGGCCCAGTGTGAGGTCGCACGCGTCTTTGGATTAGCCGGCGTGTTGACAGACCCCGTACGTGGCCGGGTGCGTCCCGACGTATGAGTGGGAGATATGATGGTATGATGGCTGGTGAGAATGTAGCCAGGCCCAGTGTGAGGTCGCACGCGTCTTTGGATTAGCCGGCGTGTTGACAGACCCCGTACGTGGCCGGGTGCGTCCCGACGTATGAGTGGGAGATATGATGGTATGATGGCTGGTGAGAATGTAGCCAGGCCCAGTGTGAGGTCGCACGCGTCTTTGGATTAGCCGGCGTGTTGACAGACCCCGTACGTGGCCGGGTGCGTCCCGACGTATGAGTGGGAGATATGATGGTATGAGGGCTGGTGAGAATGTAGCCAGGCCCAGTGTGAGGTCGCACGCGTCTTTGGATTAGCCGGCGTGTTGACAGACCCCGTACGTGGCCGGGTGCGTCCCGACGTATGAGTGGGAGATATGATGGTATGATGGCTGGTGAGAATGTAGCCAGGCCCAGTGTGAGGTCGCACGCGTCTTTGGATTAGCCGGCGTGTTGACAGACCCCGTACGTGGCCGGGTGCGTCCCGACGTATGAGTGGGAGCTATGTGATTATGTTGGGTGTGTTGTGATGGATAAACCCGAGAAGGTATGAATTTATATGGATGTGATGGTTTAATTGATATCAGGAGCCAGGATTGATAGGAAAGAGCTACGTGTGGCTTGATCCCTTAGTAGGGTACGTAGGCAGCCTGGGATAGCGCCTAGGTGCAGCCACGACCTAGACACCACTTAGGTGGTTTTATCGAGTATGATGCGGACCTCGTGGTTGGTCCCGAAACTTGGTTGAATTGAGGCTTGTCCGGTGGACTGAGTGAGTGAAGGTGTGTATGGATGGATCTTTGAATTGGATATGTGCATGTTTGATGCATTAAGTTATTTTAAAAACAGTGTGGGCAGTTTTGCTAGAATCATTTGAAGGCCGGAGGCCATTTATGTAAATTGCATGAGATTATATTGTGCGTGCTGCTGGTTGGGTTAGCAAATGTGTTTTATGCAGGTGGAAATTTTGGGGAATGTTCAATTTACAGGGGAGACTCTGCCGAAATTTTGGCAGAAAGTCTAGTGCCCTAAATCCTCTCTGGTAAAAGAGGACGTAGTTTTAAGGAGTGAACCCGGCGTGGGGGTTATGCCGGGGTCTCCGCAGGGTTCGTCTCGGGTTTCGGGAAATTCGGGGCGGGTCCTGTCAGCTTGGTATCAGAGCTTTGGGGTGGAACCACAAATGGTAAGGTTGCCACTATTCATGTGAATAGTGGCAACCCTTGCTTGCCCTTGCCCTTGCCCTTGCCTTAGCCCTTATGGGTGGAGATGCTCTTAAGCATCGATGATTTCAAGGTTGAAGAGAAGGGCTGACCTGACTTCCCATGCCCGTATTGTTACGAGGACTTCGACATCGCGTCCTTGTGCTCACACCTCGAAGACGAGCACTCTTGCGAATCTAAAGTCACCATATGTGCTTATTTATCTATTTTTCTCTCTTTTTTTTATTTTTTATTTTTATAATTTATTTTTTGTGAAGGACGCTTTTGAGCTTCATGAGCCTACATCACACATTGCTTGATCTCTGGATTATATACCGCACTTCACAACAAGAGCTTTGGATTTTTTTAATCTAAAGGATTAGGTAGGACGCTTTTACCCCTCATTTAATAGACAAATTGACAGAGATGGACAGTAGGACTCAATTGCAACGATTTGTCCAATTAAAGGATGTAATTGGTGTAGGGGGTTTTTTGTTCCAGCAGCCTGACGAATGGGCCTGGGCTGCTGTGAGAAGACAACGAGCAAAATTCCCCAAATGCCTGAGTTCGAAGAACAAGCTCCCAAGAGAGTTTTTAGAAAATCTAACGAGATTTTAAAAGAACACCCTCAGGATCACTTCACTAACACCCAAATAAGCATGAGAATTTCATTAATGGCTTAGCTTGAGGAGCATGTGGCATGGGAGCTAAGCTTTCACAAGTTTAGCAATTTGAGAGAGAGAAAACAGCGTGGGTTTCTTAGGGAGGAAAAATTAGCACGATTCCTATCCTAGGGGAGAAGAAGGAAGAACGAAAGAAAGGTTTGGGTGGCTTGAGTAGATTCCAGGTTTGCTTGACAAAGCTTGGTCAAGGTCTGGATCGTTGAGTTGTGGATGATTTTTCTGGGTAGCCAAAGTCTCCTTTTATGGGCATTAGGAGCTCCAATTTCGTCTGGTTTTCTTCTTCCTTTTTCCTTGGCAGCTCCTACCTAGCCCTATTTTGATGAATTTCTCCATCCAAGGAGCATGGGTAAGGAACCCTTTATGGTTCCAATGGTTTGACGCAGCTGGGCTTTCCCATAGAGGGGAAGGCGCCACCTGCTTTCCTTATGTTTTCTCCAAGGCAGAGCTTACAGAGGAAATGGGGAGAGATAGAGCCCTTTGTCCGATGGACACTTCCCTTACCCCCATGGATTTCCTCTGGTCTTGCCATGGTTCCCTTATGACCATTGTTTGGAATTCAAACGGGAATATGACTTGACACCAGATTTTTGTAAGTTGCTGGGCTTGGGCTTGTACATATGGTATTGGGTCCTCTGGCTTTGCTGTTTCTAACGTTTGGCAGGCTTTCGTCAAGCTGCTGGAAAGGCTTTCCCTTTAATTCTATTGATGTGGGCTGGGCTAAATATTTTGGTTGGTTCTTTGGTGTCTTCCTAGAGCATGGGTCAATTTTTCTCCTCTCTCTCATGCTAACCCATATGCTTGGGTTCTAGGAACGGGCTTGAGTTCCAAAGCCCCCAAGTGGCTTTGAAACCTACGTTCCTTGAACCCTCAATGGGCCCCGTGACTGCTTGTGACCTTCCATACCACACCCTTCTCAGTAAGCCCCGGTTAATTTTGTGGCTTGGGCCCACTTAAGCTCGTGACGTAGCTTGGTATTAGAATGCGCATGATTTCTATGCTCGTGCTTGGGGTTTTATTATGCCATGATAGGCTAGAGTCGGGCCAAGTGGCACCGAATGAGCATGTGAGCGTGATTTAGTAATATCGGCATGTCCTTGGCTCCTTCTGCACGTGCTTGTTTAGCATGATTCGTGGCTTGTAGCTTGTGTTGGCGGCTCTTATAAATTTCCTTTTATTCCCGATTGAGCTTATTTTGCATCCAATTACCCATATTGGGCTAAGGATTAATTTGGGCTTAGCCCCTTGGATTTTTGGGCCTCAACATTAGCCCCCTTGATTATTGGGGCCATGAGTAACTTTGAAATGGGTCAAATAATCAAACCTGGCCCAAAAGAAAAGTCAAATCCAGGCTGCTGACGTGACCTTCCCGTTTCCCGCGTGTGTGCTGCCATGATTATTTTCCAGCGGTCTCTTGCATTCTCCAGGTACGCTTCCATCAATCCCGTTTTATTTTATTTTATTCTTCTTTCCTTTTCTTCTCTTTTTTTTTCTCTTCGTCTCTGACTCCCTTCTTCTGTGCACGCGAGCCCTAAAACTGGTTGCCCCCTTTTCGTTTTTGCTGGTTCCTTCTCATACACAGGTCTAGGGAATCCTTGGAAAACGAGAAATCTCAGTGAGGCCCCATCCACAACCGCTGGTTGGTTACGTTCAGGAAACCGCTCGCAACCCTCGGGGAAAAGCCACAATTCCTCTTTAAAATCCCTCAAATTTCTTCAATTCGCTCTTCAATCCGTCCAAAACCAAGCTTAGCAGAGTCACTTGGCAAAGTGTGGAGCAATTTCTGTGGTGGAATCGCAAGGCAGTTCCCTCCTCTTTCGACTTCGGCAAGCTGCTGGAAGAATTCCCATCGATAGCAGTGGTAAGCATCGTTTCCCCCATTTTTGTTTTCTACTTCTTGTTACTCTGGGCACATGCATCTACACACATACACACATACATACACATATATGGGCATGTGGAGGCACCATTTATATTTTTCGGGAATTCCTCATGAACAGGGCACCTTTCCCAGTCTGGGTTTCATCTAATTTCCCAACCCTAGGCTCGAATTTCGGGCATAGACCACTGATCTGGGATTTTAAGCGTGCTCAAGGCGATATCTTGCCTTGATTAACCACAAAACCTCTAAATGGCGTCAACGCATGGTGGAAGGAATGGGAACAGCCACCCCATGGCTTCCTTCGCATATTTTATCCCTGTGACTCGTTCCTCTCCTCTTTTAGCACCAGATAATCTTTTCCCCTCTCATAGGAAAGATTTGCATGATGATATTGAATTGGTCTTCTTTTTCTTCCTTGATATGGTCCTGGCATGATATTACAGAGATGTGCGTGCATTTCAACAACTCGTGAGGGTGCTGGAACTTATGCATTTTGTTCTTTCTTCCTTTCTTGCAGGTGTCCGTGACTTAGTAGGCCTGCCATGGCGTCCACTAACCTTCCGCCGATCATGCTAGACCACCTCTACTCCATGGATGACGATCTTAAAACAGAAGGGCCGCTCCTGCTGCTTAAAGATGCCCGTAAAAATCCCGTTGTTGGTGATGAGCCATCCCCTGAGACTGCTCCTGTAATTAATCCTGCCTCCATATCCAGATGCTGCATTGAAAAGGGCCTCTTTCCAGCCGTTCCCCTATTCTTCCAGTATCCTTGCAGTATCAGTAAAGGTTGGTCAGAATGGGTCGATCGTGAACTGCGGGATCCATCCACATGCAACATCCTGCGCAGAGCACAAGTCCTTGATGCCATCTTCCTTTCCAAATTGTGGGACATCCATATCGAAGCGAAGATGCTTCGTCACGTGGTCCGGAGGTGGAGCACCGCTACTCACACCTTTGTGTGCTCATGGGGGGAATTTACCCCTACCCTTGAAGATGTGGCGAATATCTCTCGCCTTCCTGTCTGTGGCGACCGTAGTCCTTTCGGCATCGCCCTCACTCCAGAGGAAATAGATAGCCTTGCAGTCTTGCGAAGAGGCGCTCCCACCTCTCCCAGCACTTCACTCCGGTTTAACAACTGGATACAATATTTTGGGGACGCAAACAGACAGAGTCCCTGCCGGTTGGCTGCCTTTATAGCTCTGTGGCTTGGGCGGTTCGTGCTCTGTGACTTTTCTCAGGATTGCCTTCATGAGCGTGTATTTCCCTTTGGCTTTGGCCATAGCCCGAGGCGATACGATCCCCTTAGCCCCCATGTTCCTGGGACATCTATACCATCTTCTTAATCGAACCCAGCTTCTGGAAAAGAGTGCATCAGGAACCATGGGTGTGGAGACCCTCCTAAATTCTGGTTTCTTGCAGGTGTTCTTGTGGGAGCGTCTCAAAGGGTTGGATGTGTATTCACTCCCTCACTCGCACGCTATAAAGTTGGCTGACTGGGGCAATGGTTCCTTTATGCCAAACAATCTTCCATTAGTTTGCAGGTGGTTCAAGAGAATGCAGAGGAAAGGCCAGAATTTCTTAAAGCTGCTAGACAATGTCGAGAATTTTGTCTTTCGCCCTTACGGCACCTCAGCAGAGACCTTCACTTTCGTGCCCTTCTATACTGACGCCAGTGATACGGTTGAGGTTCCAGCAGCCGTGTCGCAGAGTAACCAGTTTCGGAGGCATGCTTTGTTGAATGTTGCTCCCATCCCCTTACCTACTCTTGGAGACCACTGTGCAGAGGTTTCCGTGACCTACTCTCCACACCGAGTCAGGAGGCAGTTCGGGCTTGACCAAGGGGTACCCAGCAGTCCTAACCATGATGACCCTTTTGCTTTACACAGGATCTTCTGGAGCAATGACCACATACCAGCCAGTTGCAGGCCCCTCGTTCTAGCAAGCAAGGCGAGGGTTGGTGGCTTCTCTAGAGGCTACCAAGCCTACTGGAACCGCTGTCTCTCCTCTTTCCGTGAGTTCCAATCCTTTCCCGGGGACAGACTGCCTCCTACAACGGCTCGTCTTGTGGGCTTGGTTTCGGAAGAGAAAGCCATCCCTCTTAGCCAGAAACGTAACTTGCCCTTCATTTCCAAGAGTGGTGACATCGTTGGAGAATTTCCTAAGATGAAGCCAAAGCCGGGGGCACAGAGTCCTGGCGGCTCCGGAAAAAGTGCAACGCCAGTGTCAGGCAAAAGGAAGCGAGAGGAGGAGCGAAATGTGAGTGAGAAGCAGACTGCCGGTAAACCCAAAAGGTTCATTCCGAAGGTAGCCCCGAGTGGCCCTCCTCGAACCAAAGAAGCAACTCCCCCGGAACAGCCACAGTCTTCGAAGCCTGTTGCATCTGGGAGCCGGGGTCGTGCTGGGCAAGATGCTGGAAACTACCCCTCTCCGCCGTAAGTGTTCTCCACTTCCAGTACTTCTTCATGCCCCTCCTTTTGCTTTGCGTGCGTGATATGTGGGTAGATACTTATTTATTATATACATATTTTTTTTATAGGGAAAATGGGTACAACCCCGAAGAGAAAGAGAAGTGGCACACCCCCGGTATCTCCTCAGGTGACCCCTAAACGTCGAAGCGTGCGCATTCTACATGCAAGATTTTCTGGAACACGCACCAGGACTGTTGAAGCTGCCGGAACCCCAACTGTAGTGACAGTTGACGATGATAGTGATGATAGTGACACCACCGAATCCGAGGCTAATGTTCCAGAGCAAGAGAACGTTGACGATGCCAGTGAAGATTCTGACAGGGACTCCAATGAGGGTTGCAGTGAGGATGCATTTGCTTATTCCAGCGACTATCCAGGAGGACAAGGTGGTTCAGATGTTTTCTTCGAGTCCGCCGGTAGCAGTACACGCGTTTTAGCGCTGAGCAGGTAACTGACGCGTTTTAAGTTTTGTCCCCTTCTCCTTCCTTACACCATAATCTGTACACTCGACGCGTGCTCATCCTGCAGGTTATTGACATTGCTGAGGACCCAAACCCTGCTTCAGCCATTGCTGATCCTGCCCGGACCCCCCTTGAGGTATCCGTACCGATAATATTCTATTTACCTTCTTCTCCTACTCATCTGTCAATACCCATTACCTGTCAATTATCACGTACTAATCCTTGCACGCACCCCTTCCTTTTTGCAGGCTGAGCATCTCGCTTCAAATTTAGAAATTGTGCCCGCAGTACCTTCTTCCTTCAACACATTCGATACGCTGGTCGAGGCAGCCCTCGCAGGATCCTCTCCAACCATGACACCGACGGATTCTCGGGATGAAATGCCTACGCTCCAAGTTACAAGCCCTTTACCACCTATCTTCCAGCATTTTCTCCAGAGAGACCTTGATCCTGTCATTTCGCCAGCCTTTCCAGCAGCCTTTCGGAACAACACCTTTGTCGTCCATACAACCCTGCTCGTTCCATCTCACGTTCAACCACTTCTCCGGGCGACAGGGCCTAGTCCCCTAGCACTTCTTCCAGCGGTTCAATGTGACAATGCGAGCACTGCTGAAAACACCCAGGCTATCATTACCGTCGCCGGGAATGCTGCTGCAGAACACCCTCGCAGCATGTCTTGGCTGGAGTGGGAGGAATCATTTACTACCTTCATGGCTTTCTTTGACAGCGGTGCTCAGGTCCTTCGATCCGCAGATGAACTCCTGCCGCTCTACCATCGGTTTAATGGTTACGCATTCTTCGGGGAATTCTTGTTTATCCCGAGACAGTTGCGGCTTTGAAGAAATTTCTGGACAAGTATGGGGATTTCATGGACATGACTGGTATTACTTCTTCATTCTCGCGATGTGCTGCTTTCCGGACTCTCGGCTTGGTGCTCCATGGGATGGATACCGTGCAGCTGCTGGACATTACTGATCACAGGCTCCTTTGCTGGCGGGATGCAGTTTGCGAGGCTATGACTCTGGGCTTTCGAGCAGAGTCTCTTCTGAACCTGGTGAAGGGTTTGGCACGTGCTGCATTTGGGGCACGGGCTGTTCATAACATGAAGTCAAATCCCGGCCCTGATGAAATAGGGCAGCAGCAGAGGCTTTGGTCTTCAAGCAGCACGAACTGGAAAACCAGCGCAGGGAATTGCGTGGCCTCCTTTCTGCCCAAGGTGTCTCTTCCGACAGTGCTGACTGCGTGATGGAGGCAGTGACAAGAGCTTCTCACGGGGCCTCCTCCGTTCCCTTCTAGCCATCCTTGATGGTACTTTGAGGTTCGTGACTCTTCGTCCTTCCCTCATGTTCCCTCATTCTACATATGTTCAATGTTACTCTGATTTCTCCTGACATTCCCTTTTTTGTTCTGTTTTGCAGGTCGCATTTTGCTTGGCGTAGGATTGACTTGCTTGACACATTCTGGAGTTTCGTTCGAGATTGAAGCACACATTACTTCTTAGCATGTATAGCTTGATTTTGACTTATGTTGTAAAACTTGTACTGTGGCAGCTTGGCATTTTAGTGCTGTTGTGTTCCAGCTGCCGGAACCTATGTTCCCCCTTTTTTTTTCTTTTGCCAGAAACACATTGTAGCTCTTATTTCGACATGTATAAAATGCCTGGTTGGTAGAATCCTTTGCTTGAATTTTAGATCGGGTATCCTTTTGAAGCATGGTGGTTGTTGCCAAAATTTTGTTAGGATGGCCCTTTGACACTGCCTATTTTCTTTGAAGGTTCTCGGGACCTTATGAGCATGCTAGCTTCCTTTTGCGGGTGCTTAGCTTGGCTTGTTCCTTTTCATTTTGCCCAAGCGTGAAAGCTGCTACAGACCTAGGATCCCATTCAAATGGCTTTGCTTGGCATGTCTTTTGCTAAGTAATATTTTCCTCCACTTTTTTTTTAGATATCCGCCGTATATTTATATGTAATTGTAAACGCCTGTCCAAAAAAGAAATTCGAGGTACGAAAAAGGGAAAACTTCCAGAGACAATTTTTTTTTCAAAATACTCCTTCATTTTCATTTCAAACCCCATGCTACCATGATGATACAAAAGCTTTTCAAAACAAAGAGCACATAGAAGGAGACAACATTTTTTAGATAAAAGGAAATGCAATAATACGAAAATAAGATATTATGCCTACTTAGCAGTAGTAGGGCTTGAGCCATTTTCCATTGATGGGATCCATTAGCATGCCTTCCTTGACAGAGATCAAGCGATAATAACCGCTGTTGTGTACCTCCTTGACTGCGAATGGACCCTCCCATTGTGGGGCAAATTTGGAAGGTCCTGACATTTGCCTTCTCACATGTTCAACGACTTTTAGCACGAGATCTCCTTGCTTGAAGGCTTGAGGCTTAACGGTCCTGTTATAGGCTTGGGCAACAGTCTTGTTGTAAAGTGCCATCCTTCTTTCAGCTTCCATCCTTTTCTCATCAACTGCTTCGAGATCTAGCAAACGCCAATCTGAGCATGTCTTTGCATCCCATTCAAGATCATTGACAGCTGCTATCCTGGCTGTCGGGATGGTGATTTCCACGGGTGAAATAGCCTCAGATCCGTACACAAGTGAGTAAGGTGAAAAACCTGTAGCGCTCCTTGGTGAGGTGCGATAAGCCCACAAAGCATCCGGCAGGTGAACACTCCAGCCTTCTGATACTCATATACCATCTTGCTTAGAATCCTCAATATCGTCTTATTGGTAGCTTCTGCTTGACCGTTTCCCTGCGGGTAATAAGGCGTAGAGCGACGATGCTTGATACCGTACCCACTAAGGGTTGAACTCACTTGCTTGTTAACAAAAGGTGTGCCATTGTCGGTGACCATCTTGTATGGGATTCCGAACCTACACACAATGTATTCCCGAATGAAATTCGAGACAGCAGCTCCTGTGGCCTTTCGAAGGGGAATTGCCTCAACCCATTTCGTGAAATACTCCGTAGCGGTGAGGATCCATATGTAGCCATCGGAAGGGGGATGGATTGTCCCAATTAAATCAAGCCCCCAAGTATGGAAAGGCCAGGGAGTGCGCATGTCTTGCAGCAATGTAGGAGGTTTGTGGCTTAGATTAGCATAGATTTGGCATGTGTGGCATTTCTTAACAAAGTCATGTGCATCCTTCTTCATGGTAGGCCAATAATACCCAATGCTTAGTAGCTGCCGGTAAAGCTTCTTCATTCCTTGGTGCTCTCCGCACTCTCCAGCATGTATCTCTTGCATGGCTTGACGTGCCTCTGATTCTCCCAAGCATTTTAATGGCTCACCATTAAACCCCTTCCGATAGAGAGTTGACCCATCAACAAAATACCTCTTCATGGTCTTTTTGAGCTTATAGGCAAGCTTGGGGTTAGTCGGCAGAGTTCCTCCAACAAAGAATGCCAAGTATGGAGCCCGCCAATCTTCTGCAAATGAAACAGTGAATGACTCCTCTGTAGAGGGTATCGTAGAACAGGTGGGACAATCGAATTGTAGTTCAGCTGCTTGCTTCTTCATCTCTGGCCAATAATAACCTTTGCGTTGCAAGCGCCGGTACAGGCTGATTACTGGTTCCAAGCCGCAAGTGGCATCGTGTACCTCTTGCAACCTCCTTCTTGCTTCTGCCATCCCAACACACCGGGTCAGAACACCTCCCGGAAGACGTCTGTAGAGTTCCCCAAAGATAGTCACATAGTCTTTCAAGTCTTTAATGCTGCTCTCTTCACCTAATTTTTCTTCAGTGGCTTTCTCCAATCATCCTCTTCCAGCAGGTCCCCTGGGCCATTGCTTCGACCACTGGTGTGCTTCTCCTTATCACGGTGATGTTGGGCTGTTCTTGCACAAATGAGAGCTTCGATCCCAACGTGGCCAGAGCATCAGCGTACCTATTGGTGGTTCCTGGAATGTGCTCCATCACGATTTGCTTGAAGGAATTAATGAGCCTTTCAGCAGCTGTCCGATATGGTGCCAAGGTTGCTTCCTTCACCGCAAAGCTTCCTTGCAATTGACTTAGTACCAGGTTCGAATCGCCAATGATCTTCACCTTTTCTGCGCCCATTTCTCTTGCTGTGGACAATCCCACAATAAAAGCTTCGTATTCTGCCACGTTATTCGTGCATGGAAAGTCTAGCTTGAATGAGAGAGCCGTAGCTTGCCCATAGGGATTAATGAGCACAACACCTGCCCCTCCACCTTTTGATGTGGAAGACCCATCAAAGTAGAGGGTCCATGGTTCCTCCTCTGTAACAGTAGCAACCATTTCCGGCAGCTCTCCCAGGACTTCCTTGGAAAGGGTTGATCCTTCTACTTCGGGGAATAGAGCTAGCATGTCAATCACAGCTTGTCCCTTGATGGCCTTAGGAGTTGTGCATATGATATCAAATTCGGAAAGCTGCAATAACCAACGTGCGAGACGTCCGGATAATACCGGCCTTGTGAGCAGATATCTTACGGGATCGGACTTTACTATGAGTTGTAACTTGTGAGCAAGGAAGTAGTGTCGCAAGCGCTGTGCAGCATAGACAAGAGCAAGGCATAAGAGTTCCGTTTTTGGGTATCTTGCTTCTGCTCCTCTCAGTTGTCGGCTTACATAATAAACAGGGCTTTCCTCCCCGTTATGGCCATCCTGCGCAAGCAAAGCTCCAACCGCAGCATTTGTCGCAGCCAAGTAAAGCTTGAGTGGAAGTCCTGGAATAGGTGCCCTCATCGTGGGCAGCTTTGTGATCAGTTGTTGTACCCGCTGGTAAGCTTCTTGGCACCCCTGGCTCCATATATATGGCTTCCCTTTTTTAAGGAGAGGAGTGAAAACACTCATCATTGCAGCAAGGCCTGGAATAAAACGCCGAATGTATGACAATCTTCCCATAAAACTTTTCAATTCCTTTGGATTCTTAGGTGGTGCAAGAGAGCATATGGCTTTGGTTTTCTCAGAATCCACATCTATACCACGCTGGTGTACCTGAAAGCCCAGGAACTTGCCAGATGAGACTCCGAATGCGCATTTCTTTGGGTTCATTTTTAACCCATACAGCCGGCACCTTTCCAGCACCCGCCTCAGAACTCCCTGATGACTTTCTCTGGTTTTGGATTTTACTACGAGGTCATCCACATAGTCTTCCACCTCTTTTCCCATCATATCATGAAACACTGCCGTCATGGCCCGTTGGTAGGTAGCACCGCATTCTTGAGACCAAATGGCATGACCGTGTAGTAGAAATTTCCATAAGGTGTTCGAAAGGCTGTTTTCTCGGCATCCCTGGGAGACATCTTGATTTGATTATAGCCACTAAATCCGTCCATGAAGGATAGCATGCCTTGACCCGAGGTTGAATCAATCAAGATATCCATGTTGGGCAGCGGGAATTCATCTTTTGGGCAGGCTCGATTGAGATCACGATAGTCTGTGCATATTCTGATTACCCCAGTTTTCTTCTTCACGGGTACGATATTTGCTAGCCATGTCGGGTGTTTGATTGGCTTGATGAATCCAGCGGCTAGCAGCTTTTCAACTTCCACCTTGATTTGTTTCTCAATTTCAGGATGAAAATTCCTTCGTGGTTGTACAACAGGTCTTGCACCGAGCTCAATATTCAGCGTATGACTCACCAAGTTTGGATTAAGGCCGGGCATCTCTTCATAACTCCAAGCAAACACATCTCGAAATTCCTTCAATAACGACACCAAAGCTTCCCTTTCTTCCCCTGTTAAATGAACACTGACAGAGATGGGTCTTGGGGCAGAGGGGTCATCACTTAAATTAACTGTTTCCAACCGCTCAGCTACTGCCGTTGAGCCATCTTGCATGTGCTTGGGTGCTATCATTGGTTCTTGGAAAGGACAAGGCAAGGGTGCCTTGCCATCTAGACTCCCGCGGCTGTCTGCTTGCATAGCTTCTCCACCATACTCGGGCTTTCCCGTAGGATACGGTCAAGCCCCCAATCCCGTCATAAGCGATATACAGTGCGCCCATCTGGCAGCGTAACCTTTGAGCATTGAGGATGATCGTAGGCATGGTTGTTGGCCTCCGAGTGCCTTTTTCTTTCTCGATCGACGATGGTTATGAGCTCCTCGTTGCTCAGATCACGAATCTCGGTCCACGATGGCAGGTAAGTCCCAGAATTCTTGGATGGGTTGCTTCCGGCGCCTGTGCACTCAGTGTAGAATTCTGCCTCGGAGTAGTGAGCTTCGCTTTGATTGAACGGTGCTTGATTCCCTGGTATACGGAGTGGTCTTAGCCCAATTCTTCCCTTTACACATTGATGGTACGTAGAGACCACAAGTTTATGTTGTTGAGCCATGGCCTTCCCAACAAAGCATGATAAGCCACATCTACGTCCACCACATAGAACTTGGTAAGTGACCGGATGGGCCCTACCTTCAAATTTACTTGCATATATCCAACCGTAACCTCACTTTGATTCCCAAAACCGCTAATGCTCGTTTGGGACTGCACGATCTTGGATAGTGGAATACCAGCTGCTGTAAGTACAGACAGAGGCAAGATGTTAACAGAAGAACCCGTGTCTACCAGAGCCCTCCGTATGAACACATCATTGATTTGTCCCTCCAGGTAAAGCGGCCTCCTATGATCCGGGTATGGAACTTCCATGTCCTCGTCTGTGAAAACGATAGCATTGTCATTTTCCAAGAATGACCTTTGAGGTTGAGCAGTGAAGCAATGGGGGTTGGCTCCTGCAGAAATATTCATAAGGGCTACAGCAGCTGCTTCCCTCGCTTGAGGCCCGAAACCAAGTTGGTCAAAGAGTGACTTAACTCTAGGATTCCTCTGGAGGGCCTGTGAAGCTGTGGGTCCTTGCTTCGAGCCCAGATATCGCTCCATTACAGTCGCCTCAGCTTCTGTAAGGGTGTGAAATGTCACAGCAGACGTTTCCTGCTGTCCGGACGAGGCTTTCCGGCATTGTTCTTCCGGCATGTCCAACATGAACACCCCATTGTCTGCACAGTCATCCCATCCATCAGCAAGTGGCCATGGCGTGTCGTAGCTTGACGGTTTCGAGTATTTGCACCAGTAAGCTTTATCCATGTTTCCACAAGGCTCCCAAATAGCCTCTGGTGGCTTTGGATCATTCCTCCATGGGTGGCACAATTCGTCATCGTCGAGCAAATCATCTGAACACGTAATAACAGCAGCTGTTTCTTTCCCCCTCCGTTTTGGCAAAGGGTCCTCATCAATAGCCTGCTTCCTAGAGGGAAGCTCAAGAACTCCCTCATGTATTTTGCCATGTAAGATCCTCCTTAAACTCTGACAAGCGATGGTTGGATGTCCTACAAACTGGTGGTAGCGACAGTATCTGGGATCACTTTTTTCTTCCCTGGTGGGGACCTTGTAGGGCCTGAGAGGTTTGATTGCGCCCGTCAGCAATCATTGTGTCGAGGATGGCATGAAACTCTTCCTCTTTGCAAGGCAATGGCGGGTACGTCTCCCTATCTTTTCGTTTGCGTGAGCTGTAGTCATTAGATGGCTTCTCATCCGTGGCTAACACCTGATGAGATTCCTTCTTCTCACTCCTCCAGCCCCTTTGTCCAGTCGGTCTGACAGACATGCTTGTCTTTCTTACCGCTTCCAGCAGCCGGGAAAATTGGCTGATGCCAATATTCTCCAAGTATACTCTATAGTCTGCCACAATGTTGCTGATGCAAATCTCAACAAGTGCCTCCTCATCTTTTTCGTCATAGCAATCGAGAGCCAAGTCCCGGAATCTTCTCACGAAGTCCACAGGATCCTCCCCTTGCTTTTGGCGAGTGTTGTTGAGCTGCGTGGTGGTGACCCTCTCCTCGTGCTGAAAATATTTTTTACAAAACCTGCTTGCCAAATCGTCCCAAGAACGCATAGAGCCTGGTGCCAATGTGGTGTACCATGTATAAGCCCGATCGGTGAGGCTCTTTGAGAATTCTCGGAGTCGCAGATTATAATCACCAGCGTGTGGCCCCAAAGCATCAAGGAATCGGTTGACATGTTCCTTCGGGCTTCCTTTCCTCCCATCGAAGAGAACAAAGGTTGGTGTTTCGTAACCTTTGGGATAGGGCTGCTGGAGTAAACTTGCTGGGTACGGTGGCTGAGGAATGTACTTCCAATCCTCCTGACTTCGACTAAGCTCCCTTTCCAGCATGGCAACGACATCCTCCTGGGTGACAAAAGACGGTCCCCTTTGTTCAGACCCCTTTCCAGCAGCGGCAGATTCTTCTTGCGGACGTCTATCCTCTTCGCTTGGCTTGGAAGCAGCATTTTTTAATTCTTTGATAGTGTCCATCATCTCCTTCTGGGTTTCCCCCATGGCCTGCATAGCCGTGATGAGATCAGTGAGGGTGAAGGCTTCCTCACTTGCACGTTCTTGTCCTCTAGAGGAAGCATTTTGCCTTGATTCAGAATCACCATGGTCGGGTCCATCTTGGGAGGCCATGGTGTTGCTTCGGGTTTTCTTTCTTGGAGGCATTAGTAAGATGGCAGCTTGTTCCCCAGCAGAGTCGCCAATTTATGTAGGGGGTTTTTTGTTCCAGCAGCCTGACGAATGGGCCTGGGCTGCTGTGAGAAGACAACGAGCAAAATCCCCCAAATGCCTGAGTTCGAAAAACAAGCTCCCAAGAGAGTTTTTAGAAAATCTAATGAGATTTTAAAAGAACACTCTCAGGATCACTTCACTAACACCCAAATAAGCATGAGGATTTCATTAATGGCTTAGCTTGAGGAGCATGTGGCATGGGAGCTAAGCTTTCACAAGTTTAGCAATTTGAGAGAGAGAAAACAGCGTGGGTTTCTTACAGAGGAAATATCAGTGCGAGCCCTATCCTAAGAAGAAGAAAGATGAACAGAAGAGAGGTTTGGGTGGCTTGAGAAAATTCCAGATTTGCTTGACAAAGCTTGGTCAAGGTCTGGGTCGTTGAGTTGTGGATGTCTTTTCTGGGTAGCAAAAGTCTCCTTTTATAGGCGTTAGGAGCTCCAATTTCGTCTGGTTTTCTTCTTCCTTTTTCCTTGGCAGCTCCTACCTAGCCCTATTTTGATGAATTTCTCCATCCAAGGAGCATGGGTAAGGAACCCTTTGGTTCCAAGGTTTGACGCAGCTGGGCTTTCCCTAGAGGGGAAGGCGCCACCTGCTTTCCTTATGTTTTCTCCAAGGCAGAGCTTACAGAGGAAAAGGGGAGAGATGGAGCCTTTTGTCCGATGGACACTTCCCTCACCCCCATGGATTTCCTCTGGTCTTGCCATGGCTCCCTTATGACCATTGTTTGGAATTCAAACGGGAATAGGACTTGACGCCAGATTTTTGTAAGTTGCTGGGCTTGGGCTTGTACATATGGTATTGGGTCCTTGGCTTTGTTGCTTCTATCGTTTGGCAGGCTTTCGTCAAGCTGCTGGAAAGGCTTTCCCCTTAATTCTATTGATGTGGGCTGGGCTAAATATCTTGGTGGTTCTTTGGTGTCTTCCTAGAGCATGGGTCAATTTTTCTCCTCTCTCTCATGCTAACCCATATGCTTGGGTTCTAGGAACGGGCTTGAGTTCCAAAGCCCCCAAGTGGCTTTGAAACCTACGTTCCTTGAACCCTCAATGGGCCCCGTGATTGCTTGTCACCTTCCATACCACAACCTTCTCAGTAAGCCCCGGTTAATTTTGTGGCTTGGGCCCACTTAAGCTCGTGACGTAGCTTGGTATTTAGAATGCGCATGATTTCTATGCTCGTGCTTGGGGTTTTATTATGCCATGATAGGCTAGAGTCGGGCCAAGTAGCACCGAATGAGCATGTGAGCGTGATTTAGTAATATCGGTATGTCCTTGGCTCCTTCTGCACGTGCTTGTTTAGCATGATTCGTGGCTTGTAGCTTGTGTTGGCGGCTCTTATAAATTTCCTTTTATCCCGATTGAGCTTATTTTGCATCCAATTACCCATATTGGGCTAAGGATTAATTTGGGCTTAGCCCCTTGGATTTTTGGGCCTCAACATTCTGTAATGGAGTGGTTGGCGTATTGCATAGTTTTAGCAAATGGATTTCACAAAATGACTCTTACCACCGTATTATGATGTTCCCCAAGTTTTGGACTCAATCCGATATCGATTGGTCCATGAAATCGGACAATTCAGGGTTCGTACGATTTTTCGTTCTAAATGGAGTGGTTGGTGTATTGCATAGTTTTAGCAATGGATTTCACTCAAAACACCCCAAATGACTCCTCCCACAAATTATGATGTTCCCCAAGTTTTGGACTCAATCCGATTTGATTGGTCCATGAAATTGGACAATTCAGGTTCGTACGAAGTTTGTTCTAAAATGGAGTGGTTGTGTATGCATAGTTTTAGCCAATGGTTTTCACTCAAAACACACCAAATGACTCCTCCCACCATATTATGATGTTCCCCAAGTTTTGGGCTCAATCCCATATCGATTGGTCCATGAAATTGGACAATTCAGGTTCGTACGATCTTGGTTCTCTGAAATGGAGTGGTTGGTGTATTGTGTAGTTTTAGCCATTGGATTTCACTCAAAACACACCAAATGACTCCTCCCACCATATTATTATGTTCCCCAAGTTTTGGACTCAATCCAATATCGATTGGTCCATGAAATTGGGACAATTCAGGTTCGTAGAGAAGTTCGTTCTGAAATGGAGTGGTTGGTGTATTGGCATAGTTTTAGCATTGGATTTCACTCAAAACACACCAAATGACTCCTCCCACCATATTATGATGTTCCCCAAGTTTTGGACTCAATCCGATATCGATTGGTCCAAGAAATTGGACATTCAGGTTCGTACGAAGTTCGTCTATATATGGAGTGGTTGTGTATTGCAAAGTTTTAGCCATTGGATTTCACTCAAAACACACCAAATGACTCCTCCCACCATATTATGATGTTCCCCAAGTTTTGGACTCAATCCGATAATCGATTGGTCCATGAAATTGGACAATTCAGGTTTATAAAGTTCGTTCTAAATGGAGTGGTTGGTGTATTGCATAGTTTTTTCAATGGATTTCACTCAAAACCACCAAATTACTCCTCCCACCATATTATTATGTTCCCCAAGTTTTGGGCTCAATCCGATATCGATTGGTTCAAGAAATTGGACAATTCAGGGTTCGTACAAAGTTCGTTATGAAATGGAGGGGTTGGTGTATTGCATTGTTCTAGAGATTGGATTTCACTCAAAACCCACCAAATGACTCCTCCCAATCCGATATCGATTGGTCAAGAAATTGGACATTTAGGTTCGTACGAAGTTCGTTATGTGAATGGAGTGGTTGGTTTATGCATAGTTTTAGAGATTGGATTTCACTCAAAACTCACCAAATGACTCCTCCCACCATATTATGATGTTCCCCAAGTTTTGGGCTCAATCCGATATCGATTGGTCCCAGAAATTGCACATTCAGGTTCGTACGAAGTTCGTTCTGAATGGAGTGGTTGGTTTATTGCATAGTTTTAGAGATTGGATTTCACTCAAAACCCACCAAATCACTCCTCCCGCGTATATTATGTTCCCCAAGTTTTGGGCTCAATCCGAGATCAATTTATTCAAGAAATTGCACCATTCAGGTTCGTACGAAGTTCGTTCTGAAATGGTGTGGTTGGAGTGTTGCATGGTTTTAGCGATTGGATTTCACTCAAAACTCACCGAATGACTCCTCTACTATATTACGATGTTGCCCAAGTTTTGGGCTCAATCCGATATCGATTGGTCCATGAAATTAGACAATTCAGGTTGATACAAATTTGTTTGAAAAAGAGTGGTTGGTGTTTGCATAGTTTTAGAGATGGATTTCATTCAAAATCACGAAAGACTCCTCCCCCCGTATTACGATGTTGCCCAAGTTGGGGCCTCAATCCGATATCGATTGGTCCAAGGATTGGACAATTCAGGTTCGTACGAAGTCCGTTATGTAATAGAGTGGTTGGTGTATTGCATAGTTTTAGTAATGGATTTCACTCAAACTCTACAAATGACTCCTTCTACCCGTATTATGATGTTACCCAAGTTTGGGGCTTAATCCCAATCTCGATTTGGGTCCAATAAATTAAACAATTCGGTTCGTACAATTTTCGTTCTATAATGGAGTGGTTGGCGTATTGCATAAATTTAGAGATTGGATTTGACCCGAAACTTACGAAACGACTCCTCCACGTATATTAACCACTACAACAAAGATGACCTTAATTACACACTTTTAATGACGTGCCTAAAATATACGTCATTAAATTATGTCATCATGACACATTCTATATGTGCGTCATTGAATATAGTTTATGACACACTTACTATGACATTCGGATTCACATGTCATTAGTTGTGTTTTTATGACGCGGGTCAGGTGTCATAGATTCTAATTACCCTTAGAAGACGCATAAGACACGCCATTAAAGGTTTTGCAGATTAAAGACGCGTTATAAACGCATTGAATCAATGACGTCTCTTCTGCGTCATGGAAAACTTTTAATACGACACACTACTTCTGCGTCATAGTTCTAAAACCTCAACCACCCCCCCCCCCCCCCCCAATGTCCTCTCCTCACGTTTTGTTTACCTCATTTTAATTTTTCCAATATTTTCCCAACCACAAAAATATAACAATGACGTAGGTGATGAGCCGGTTTTTAAAAGTTTTACAATGTAACGACACTTCATAAAACGTCATTGAATCAACGACGCTTGGGAGACGTCATGGAAAATATTTACACGACGCGGATTGTGTGTTGTTGATTTCATGACGTATGTTACGCGTCATTAAATTAGATTTCCACGACGCAAATCAGATGTATAGATATATTTGTTAACGACGTCTTATGCGTGTCATAGATCTGTACTTTCTTTCCCCAAATTTTAAGCCCGGCTTTTTTTTTGAACTTGGGTGCTCTCTTTTCATCTTTTTTCACCAAACTTTCATTATTATTGTTTTTTTTAAGTCCACACCCAATTATTAGAAATAAATCAAATCCTCTCTCCCCACCGTCTCTTCTCTTTCGCCCTATCCTTCTATCTCTTCTCTCCCTTCATTTCCCTCTATCAGCAGGTCCAAGATTTCTCTAAACTTTTGGTTTTGATTGTTAAGGTTCATCCGCTCCTACGAGAGCAGATCACCTCAACCTCTCACAGCCTCTATCTCAGGTCGATTTCCTTCCTCCTCAATCAATTTCTGTCTGTCATACTTAGAAACCCAAAACCCAAAACCAAACCGCTGCCCTTCCATCCATATCGGTCTCAGCTTTTTGGCAAAATAAAAGGTATGTTTTGTTGGCATTAATTTGGTTGGTTTGCATTCTAGAGTACAAATTATAGACGTATTTTTAAAATTTCATGTGTGTTCTCTAATTCTCCGTTTGGATAGAGGAATTTCAAATTACATAGAATTTTAAAAGACGGAATTAGATTTCCGTCATTTCAATTTCTGACAATTGAAGATTTCAATATTTGGGA